CTTACCCAGAATGGGCACACTCTATCAACAATACTGCTGCTATTCACCTTTCATCTATAAAATCAGTCAATGCCACACTCTGATGATATGACTGCAGACTGTATATAGGTTTAAAACTAAAACTTTCCATGGACATGTCTGTTTTTAAATGTCTTTATTGTTTCTGAAACACCCCAATTTCCTGTTACGGCTGTTACCTACAGTAGCTTTAAGAACTTCATCGGAGTTAGTGATCACTTTTCACATAATTTTAAGAAGCCCTTACTGTATGTGAATGTGTTTTACCAAATTGTACATTATCATATGCTGTATTCTTGCTGCCTTTACATATAATGTGTGACATCCCATTCCAAATCAAAGGTTTGAAATGTACTGGTATCTCTTTGCGGCCAAAACAGCTTTAACTCCTCTGTAAAGGCTAACCATGAGTTTTAGTGTTTTTTTGTAGAAAATCTTTCCAGATGCCCATTTGTGGGATCAGACACTGATGTTGCAGAGGTTAGCCTGGCTCCCATTGTCTGCTCTGATTAATTCTTAAGGTTCTATTCTGTTCAAAGTGATCCACATTTATTGGCTTACTGAAGCAGCAGCTGCCTATAAATCCCTCTGCACAAAACTTTATTATTAATGCAGAAAAGAAATTTGCTTACAAATACTTTCTGCTTGGAAAATGAGAAACTCATTCTGCAGGTTTCATTCTCTGGGCAGCTTTTCCACTTGTACCAAATATTCTGGCAAGCTCCGGGGTGGCTTGTACAGCACAAACCTCAAGATTACAACACCACACTAAATGAGGAAGTAGAAAACAAAGCAGACTTATATAAAGCCTTCTTATATCATCAAAGAGTCAGTCATTGTCCAAGAGATTTTCACATGGTCCTAGCAGACACGTCATGCATAAATCAAGCTTTAGTCCAAAAAAGAAAAAAACAGAGCAGACAATAAATAAATGCATTTAAGATAAATAGGAATTTGAAACCAAAAGTGGTTTAGGAGTTTGTTTAGGATGTAATGCACACCCAAAAACAAACCCTCAGGTAATCTTAATGATCCATCCATTTTCTCCCACTTAGTCATTGTCAGGGTCATGGTGGGGCTGGTTCCTATCTCCAGCAGTGTACGGCGATAGGTGGGATACACCCTGGACAGGTCGAATCTTAATGATGTCTACTGAAAATTTTTCATATCACTTTAACTTGGTTATAATACCACAAACAGTTATCCGGGGTATGTTCAGTATTGAGAATAGTTCACAATCTCATTTATTCTACAGGTGGCATTCCATCAGGATACCACGTTAAAAAAGCAATGAAATCTTTTGAGAAGGCTTTTCTTTGCTTTAATGCTTGTTGATGCAGTACCCATGACAAATGTTGGATTTTATACTTGAGCTCATTAAAGTCGTTGCAACACTGATAAGGATGGAGGAGCCATAAACTTATCAGTATCGTTAATTTAAATTCTGCAAAAACAAGGTCGACAACTGTTTGAAGACAAGAAACATGTGTGAATAGCTTTTTTAAACCATGTATTGGTTAAATTCACTAAGAGATTATGTTTTTGTAGGTGAATTATGTAGCACACAATTAACTTCACCTAAAAAAAAATCTTTACCCATTGTGTTGATAAACGCCAATATCTGCGTCTGTACATTTGTTTTATAGTGACCTACATTTGTGTAATTACTTTTAATAAACTATTGATTTTCTCATTGTGATTTACACAGATTTTATCTGTCAAAAGTATGTTTTAATGTTTTAATAATTTCTTTTTGTTTTACACTTGTGTAAAGAAATGATAAATAAATTTGTCTAAGTCTAAATAGAACGACAAAGAATATCCAAGTTGTTGGCTTCTAAGAAGGTTTTCACACATTCTGACACATTTCACCAAATGGCTGTAAACCTGTGTTTGTTCAGTGTTGTAAGGGGTTATTATGAGTCAGACTTTGAAGTCACAAGGCCTTACAGCAATGGTTAACTTCTACAAGATCGTAGAGGTCATACCGTGCAGTGCTCTGCTTCAGCAGAGAGCTTTTAATGTTTACAAGAAAAACGAGAAAATATTCAACCAAAAACTTTAAAGATTCAGTAAAAACAGAAACAGCAGTCTTGGATAAGAAACGTGTAAAAAGTTGACAGTGGTATTATGAATAAACCCTTAAATGATTTTTGACTTGACAAATCAATAAAAGAATTATACAAATTCTCCCAACATTGTTACAAATGAATTTTTTTTATCTACAACACAGTTGTAGTATTTGCCTTTCGATGACCATACTTTTCCAATTCTTCTTACTTTCATTGTAAGTAGGAACTAGGATTTATATAGCAGAAATTCACGACAAATATTTCAAAGCACTTTACAGAAACAATTCAGTCAAACAATTCAGAAAGATTTGTTAAGGGTTTTCCATCAAAGGAAAACCAGCTGATCAAATCCCATTATTAACTTTGCAGGATTCGCCCTCCTGAATGACCACATGTAGCCACAGTAGACATTTGCTTGCTTTGGTTTGTTAACTTTACAACTATCTCTCACACCAGCCATGCATGCAGTGATAGTAGAGAGAAAAAACTCACTTTTGACAGCAAGGAACCTTAAGCATAAGCAGGGTCAGTGTGAGTGGCCTTCTGCCTTAGGCTGGTGAGGGTTCAAGAACTCAGAAGCAAAATAAAGAGAGAAGCACTGATTCATGAATACTTTCTTTGTTAGAAAAGCTAATGTTAAACTAGCTCCATAGCTGGCTCTGTCCATGACAGCTCTTAGCCAGTATTCCTGTCTTTAATAAATTTGCATAAATATAATTTTTTTTCAAGTAAATAGGAGGTAACCCTAGTTTTTTTCTGAATGCCGATTATGTAATAATGAAACGTCTTTTTAATGTCGTCCTAAAACATCTGTAAATGGATGCTTCTCTTTGGAAACCCTTTTCAGGTTTTCAAAGTACAATTTTCACACTGCTTTCCTGTATAGAATAGAATAGAATTACGCTTTATTGTCATAACATTGTCACAAGTAAAAAGCACGAGATTCACTCTCTGCTTGAGCGGTGCCTATATATATCTATATATATATCTATATATATCTATATATATAGATATATATATAGATAGATATATACATTTTCCTTTTTTGAATAAGATATGCTTTTACTGTGCATTTAGGTCCATATAAAAAATAAGGAGACGGACGAAGTAAGAGCTTCATGGTAACACCTTTTTTCAGTTTTAAAATTTTCCTACCTTGTTAATTTTTAAATTCCTTTGTAACATATTTGCATTATCTCTGCCTTGTAGAAAAAACATTTCTACTTTTAGCTCTGCCATAGTAATTTATTTACCAAACAAGTTCAACCGCTTCTTTTTGTGTTCCCCTTGCCCCTAGGTATTTGTATCCATACATATACATTGTCTATCTTTTTTTATGTATTTATGTGGCTTTTTGAGCTAGTGATGCAATCAAGAAGGTAGGATATATCATAGGTCCCCTAAAAAGGCAGTTGCGCCTCTGGGCTTCCCCACCGGTTCTTTTCCTGGGAGTTACTTACTACTCTTAACACAAACTGGGTAAAACCATATAAAAATGGACTATAAAAACAGGAGTAATAAAGTAACAGAGTTATTCCAGATGAGGTCGTTACAGGACAGAGAAAATGCTTGGAGCTTGCACAGCTGTGGGCTCAAAAAATAACGTCCGCGAACGTCTGGCAAAGATTGAGCCCGGAACAAGGTCATCTTCTCCTTCTTATAACTCATGAGTCTATGTGTCGGATCATGTGGATGTTTAGCTGAGAGTATGAGAAACTGACACGCCATCCATGCCCTGACCTGTATGCATCTTTCCTCTATGCCCAAGATCTCCTCTATCAGTCCGGCTCCAAGATGTGCCCATATCCTGTGTATCTTTAAAAGACAAGAAGGCTGTCCTATTTAGATGACCTACTTACACAAAGTGACATCCACTATGTAAAGGAAGGCCATCTGCTCTCTCTATCTGGCTAACAAAGTAACAATGCACATGATGTATAAAAGAATAAACCTAACTATATATATATATATATATATTTATTATATACCAAAACCATTTTCTCCTCCTAAGGCCAAGGTTGAACAGATTGAGGAAATCTCCAAAAAGGGTTGCTCTCCAAACTCCCCCAGCCAGGATGTTAAGGAGGCCGTTTGGCCAATAGGCTGAGACAACAATCAGAGACTCCCCCACTTTTCAAAGAGATGCAACCCTCTCATCCACCTGTGTAAACTCCAACACAAGACACCTGAGCTGAGACAAGGATGTCCATCCCAGTTTTCTGGCTCTCCCCAAACTGAACTCTTTTCTACTCTCCAGAATAGAAGAGATTCTTTCCTCTCTTACCCATAGCGAGATAAGATTCTACATTCTTAAGCGACTGAGGATCAGGTCACAGGTCCCTAAGGGAGGAACTCGACTTTCAGACACTTTCCAATGAACCACATGCCAAGGCCTGACTCCAGGATGAAATCCCAACTCCTAACTCACTGAGCGATGTTATGCACCTTGATTTTCTGGTCATCATAAGGGCTTCTTAAACTGTTCTTTGTCTGACCTGTGACCCAGAGCTCCTTTGCCTTGGCAGTCCCTACCTGGCACAATTAAGCTCGGGGTGAGTCTGGGATCATCAGAGTATTGAAATCCCTCCCCCATTTTTAGTTGGTAGTCGAAGGAAGGATCCTAAAGTAACATTCAAGAAGTAAAACAACAATAAATTATGCTGTTGGTCAATGGTGTGATCACATTCTAATCATCTTGAAACTTGTGTCATCTTGTGTTTTACCAATCAGCTGTTAAAAAAGATCTGAGAAGAGCTGAGTATTTGTTTTCCTCGTGAGAATTCGTGTGACCAATAAACACCAACATGACGCTGACTGTTCAGTTTAGTTCTCCTTTTTCTACCTTCAAGGTTCAACACTTCCCAAAACTGTTTTTTACCCTGCGCATTCAGAGCTTAAAAAGAGTGGATTATGGCCCAAACTATTTTATCGCTCAGGTAAGAACTGTCAACTACCTTTGCCTCATTATTTTTGTAGCATTTTTGAATAATTCTCAAAAATTAGACTTGAGAAAAGGTAAAATAAAATTTGATGAAAATTAAACTGTGAAGAGATACTTCTTTGTGACCTTGTTTGTATTATTTGATTTTCATTGTTATTTTATTATTATTTTCACAGTTATTGTGCTGACAGAGGGGTATACTACTGCTTAAATTTAATAATTTATTCTTTTATTTGAGTCTATTTTGTGAAAAGGAGTCTGAAAAACACATTGAGTTAAAGTATAATACTCAAGGATGTATATTGTTGCTACTTTATCTCCTGAATACATATTCAGATGGTAAAATAACTAATATTTTAACCATGAACAGTGATGATTAAATGATTAAATTAAGTTAATCTTAATAAAAGGAAAATAAAAAACATACAGTAATACATTCAGAAGGACTTTTGTTACACTGGATTAAAAGCAAATATAGACAACTAGACCTTGTCCTAAGTGCAAAGGCACTTCATTTCATAATTTAAGGGCATTACCTTAAACATTTGAACACCTCTGTGAATCAGCTTGTTCCTTAGAGACAACAGAAAACAAGTGATCATTAGAGGGCATATAATGCTGCAGCAGGTCAGTTACCCCAGAGTCTGTCTATTCAGTCACTAATAAGTCAGAAATAAAACTTTAAAATCGACTTTAAAATGAAAAAGAGAGCCAGTTTTAAAAAAGCATAGACGTGGGAAACACGGTCACACATTTTTATAGGGGTGACAGACCTACATAAAAGCTATATATAGGTAAAAAAGCAGCAATATTTAAGATGCCATTTAAAAGAAGCATATATCCCCAGTTGCAAGTTTTCAAAAGATAAAGAATACTTTACACAGATACAGAGCTTCAGTTTAAAAAAGTTTGCTTATATGATTAAAATTAAAAGCCACTCACACATTTTAACCTGCAACTGAACAAAAGGCTCCAGAAGAACCACATCCAAATAAGATGAAGTCTGATTATCATGTTTTGAAAAGATAATTCATTAAGTATTCTCCAATTAAAATGTGAAGCCATCCCGGCTTTGTCCTCAGTAAGACTCAAATGGATCGTTTAAATGCGGAAGTTTAGCAACAACTCAACTAAAGGTAGTTCTGAGATTATTTAACATAAAAACAGAAAAGAAGTTATATGTTTTCTTCAAACCACATACTGTAAATGCAAGATATATAGAAATACAATAAAAAAAAAACAAAAGTAGTCCCAGTATAGATTCCTGAGGAGCTCAGCATGAAATAGAACTGTAGAAGAAATAGTTACTCCATGATTCAAATCTTTCTTTTGGACAAATAAAACCTAAACCATTATATAAAATAATTATATTAAATGTGCAAATGTTCATATAAGGTGATAAACTGTTTGGGCATCCTACAGGATGATCACCAGTTTGAAACTCTTTTTTTCTTTTCAGGAACAAATCGGGAACCTTTAGAAAGGCTCTAAAGTCTCTGCTGTTTTATCTCTGGGACGTTTATTCCAAACCTGCTCCCTCAGGCCTAGAAATCATTTCTCTGCTCTCTATCTGCTTCACCTTTTCCATCATTACAGGTGGTCTGGTGCACCAGTGGCTGTCACATACTTTAAAATACAGCCACATGGCATCGCTTCAGACCACTTGCTTCTACAGCATAACCATACTCCTGGTCTCCTTCCTGTGCCACCCCCTCCGCTGCGTTCTCACAATGATCCTGCCCACTGTGTGCACCAAACAGGGACGCAAACTCCTTATCTCAGCCTCTGTTATGATTCTTGTGTTGAACGTCATCCCTAACATCGCGGTCAACGTAGGGGCTGTAGCACGGATCTTGAAGTGTACTGCTGAGGGTTTTACAAGAACTCTGCTGAACTCATCTCAACCCCTCAACAAAGCAAAGCAAGACCTAGTCAACGAAGCCATAAAGGCAAGGAGGGAGGACTTAAGTATTGTCAAAAATTTAAGAACCCTGGACCATTTCACTCATGTTGACATGTCAGAAGTCAAAAGCACTTTTGCCAAAGTGATTTATCAGATAGAGGTCAACTTATCATATACAAAGAACCTCCTAACTCAATATAAGCTGCTGTCAAACCGGATCCTCGCAGCTATATTTGTCATTTTGCTGATCATAGAATCTGCACGATATTTAAAATCCTATCTGACAGCTGTTCATTTTGATAACCCCTTGACCTCTGCAGCACTTCGACAAAAAATATCTCCTGGGGGTAATATCCAGCAGGCTAAAGAAAGAATCCCAGTCCGGATCTGCAAAATAACAAGTCAAGAATGTACCTCTTCTTTCATATCACTGGTCATTGTGACATTATACTTTGTTGGAATTACTCTAATAGTATTTTTGGATAATGTTGTGTATCATATAGTCCAAATGATCATCCCATGGGTGTTGGATTTTCCACCGACTACTGCTGCAATGACTGTCGATTATAAGGTAATTTTATTTTTCGCTTCGGCTCTGCATATTTTTCCACTGCATAACATTTTCATTTAATGTGCCCTACTTTTTACTGCAGGTTAAATGGTTTCCTCCTGCATTCTGTATTATCCCTAATTCATGCGTCACAAGAGAGCTGATAAACTTCAAAAAGGAATACAAGTGGACTTTCAACCCCGAACCTTCACTCTGCGAGGTGGCAACTTCAGCTCCGAAGCTGGGTGTCTCTATGCTGCTGGGATGTCTCTGGATGATGAGCTATTTTTTGGTGTTCCTGGAGGTTTATGCCAAGCGACTACGCAGAAATATCTGTGCGTCATTTTTCAGAGAACAGGAAGAAAGAAGAAGAGCATACTTAATAAAGAAATTACAGGAAAAACAGATGAGACACTAAACAATGACATTTCCTATTACCTCCAGTGTTTTTAATTGAAATGCACTAAGATACATTTGTGTTATCTTCGAAAGAGAAACATGTCATTTTGTCAAAACGTTTTTATTTCCATTTGAATGACTTTTTGATTGTTTAACTTATTAAGTGGTACAGAAAACCGTTTAACCTAAAATACACATTTTGCTTATTGGCAAAATATTCAAGTTAGTAGCCATTTGCAACAAATCCGATTCTTAGTTCTTAGAGCATCCCTTTTCTGCTGCATAAATGACCAAATCTTGATCCCCTCCTCCTAAGCCCAGCCTGTAGGATGCTTACAATTGCCTCCTGTGGATCTTGAAAGTGGAAGGAGGTAGAAAGTCTCCAAAGAATAAGTTAGTCTTTACCTGCTCAATTCAGGCAGGTTGTTCTATTCATTCTATCCTCCAGATATGACACTGGTGAAAAGGCCTGAATAAGCATTGGGAGACAGAATTTGTTTTAGTTACATCCTTAGTGTACATACTGTGACCTTAGTGGCTTTCACCAAGTCTTGAAGAGCGCTGAGGGTTTTTGACGACCTGTTGCCACAGAGTTCTTGATACAGTCAATGATTTCTGTACTCAGTGTTTGGGTGATCCTAAAGGCCATCTTAGGGTCTACCAAGGCAAACAGGCTCTAGGTGATCCGTCAAAAAAGGAACGCCTTACCCCGTAACCAGGCCCAGTTTTTGGGATGGTCAGTGAGTGCCTGGTTGTCGGGTTCCTTCATGCAAATTGCAGCCGGACCAAACCGGAAAGGGGGGATGTAAGGCAATTACCCAGTGGACCCACCACAACCATAAGGGACCAGTGGAAAGAGGATTGAAGTGGTGAAGGCCTTTGAGACTGTATGCACATGCATCTTTTTCAGATGCCCCCTGGACACCTCCCATATTCATTAAGTCCTGGTGCAGCGGCTGCTATTTTGCAGACACTGCACCGGTCCGTTGTGGTGAAGAGAGAGCTGTCGGTCATCTGGATGATGAAATGATCTTTCTCGACATAGTGGCTGGCCACTCCCTCAGAGATGAGAAACTTGGTCGTACAGAAGAGGTTTGTAATATTACCGCTTCTCTACCTTGTGATAGAGTGTAGGTTTTTGGATGCCCCCTGAACACTTCCCATATTTAACAAGTCATGGTGCAGCTGCCGCTATATTGCAGACACTGAGTGAAGAGAGACCTGAAGAAAAAGGCAGTCTCTTGATTTACCAGTCAGTTTTTGTCTTACCCCCGACTCTGGTCCTGATACATGGATTATGATCAATAGAATGATACCCCAGCCACAAGCAGCTGAAATAAGCTTTCTTAGCAGGATAACTGGGCTGGAGATGGCCCACGGCACGCTGGAAGGACTCGTCTTTTATCTCGCCTGGGAATGCCCTTCCCAGGCAAGTCTTCTCACCTGACTCCGCCAGATGGATTTGCTCCGCATATCCATCTGGAAACCTTCCGTTTAAGTAATTTTGGGAAGGGGCGAAAATACTGGTTAGCTGTTTGGCCTATGTTGGTGATAGACGGGCCAAATAAACCAATCAGATCAACGAAGCATATGATGTACTAACAGAGCGACGATGAAAACACAACACCAAGCCAGGCTACTCTTGCCGAAACCAGTCGGGAGAAGAGCAAAAACATCTTTTCCTCTGAGAAAAGCCTCCAGAGCAGTGTTTTGCTCTTCTTTCAGTGAAGAAATACTCTGTAATTCCGATAAAACTTGCTCGATAGCCACGCTAACGCTAGTTTCATCGGCTGAAGCCGCCATGTTCTTTAGACTGAACTGTCGCGCTTCTTGTTGCGTCACACCTCAACTTGCCTCAAAGCTAACGCTGATTGGACGTTCGTTTGGTGAACGACTCCAAATTTTCTTTAACGGAGAGCTCTCCAGACTGATCTGCGAGTGAAACCTTGAAAGCTCATGAGATCAGAATGGTCTTACGAGGCTACACGTCTTCCCCCAGTGGAGCTGGAGTTATCTGGGTAGTCTAGGTCTTTGCTGAGACTGCTGCCCCTTCGACCCGATCTCGGATAAGCAGGAGACGACCAGAATGAGACTGATTTCTTAACTCGAGGACCATTTTCCTATCATTGCCATATTTCTAACATTTCACATCTAACATTTGATATGCTTTGCTGTAGGCATTCTTTATATGCCTGTGAGCCTCATTAACTATTTGGACTGTGTAAACTCATCTAAAACTGCTAAAAACAAATAGGTTGATATGCTTACAGTTTACTCCAATTTTTTCAAAATAAAACTTATCTCAAAATAAAAACTGATATACAAAAAAAATAAAATAAAATTCTCCATGAGACAAACTGTTGGTATATGTTGTTCTAATGAAACAGCCATCTTGGACACTTTGTACAATGTAAAAAAACAGATCATGATTTGCTGACATTTTGCTCAAAGAGCAGATGGCTGTTTGTCACATTATCTGACAAGTGTTGCTTCTTGCTGTTGCTCTGCTTTTGCTAAACGTGAACCAATAATCAAACATCCTGTTTATGAGTCACTGAAACGACTTTTTTCTGCAAACACATCATGTTCTCCAGTTTGGGCCCACCTGTGGTTTATACAGGCGTAAGGTTGTTTTTTACGCTGGATATATATGAAACCCATATAGAACAGGAAACAGGCCCACCACCAGCTGTATTTCCCCCATCAAAGTTCTTCACACATCAATGTATTTCCTTCTTTCTTTTTTTTAAATTTTATTTAGGGTGAAATATGGTGTCATTGCGGCTTTATTGTGGTTTTAACATCTCAGCCCCACTAGATGACGCTGTACATCAAGAAATATAAAGCAAGCACAGGGCAGGAAATTAACAATAACAGATTAAGTAAATTCTTTGATTGGATTAAATAGATAATATATATTAAATGTTCTTGTTTTATCTTGGTACCATAATATTCACCACGCTGTTCAGAATAGATAATACATTATAAAAGATTTTTTTTTTCTAAGGTAATTTGCATATCAAATGCTTCCCCTGAGGCTTGAGGATTTTATTTTAAGAACTCATTCAAGGATATTTATAGAAAACTTCCTAACAATCTATTTTTTGCTCCTGACATTGTGTCCACTTCGTGATTCTCTGAAAAAGTCACTTGGGCAAACAATTCCCCATTTTTAGGTCTGCTTTACAAATCTCATGTAGTTAGAATAAATTCGAAAACTAAATAAGCTTAAACCTTGTATCAGTGAAACACAATGCATTGGTGGTATGTATAAAATTATCTTAATAGCACAAGAATAAAGTTGCACCACCCTATTCCATTATCTATATTTTTTTTCAAAATCATTGTGGTTCATTTAGTCTGATCTAAATTAGAACCAGCAAGCCTAATAAATAATAAAAGAAATTGTAAGAACCCAAGCATGTCTTCCTCTGCATACCAAACATGGTGCCCTGCAAATATATCTTTATGTACAGAGATGATAGAATAATGATGTTATGATGTTTTCTTCTCCAAAGCTGTTATGTATTCATACCAGGTAGCCCAAAGGCGGAATGCCATTAATTAGAAAATCGAAAAAAACTTCCATTAGTATTCCAAATGATCATCCTGGAAACGGAGCAGTGTAAGGAAACTTTTTTCTGTCAGGCTGGATTCTGGGAAAAAATAATCATTTTAAAGCATTAAAAACTTGTGATGTATGAATCACTATTCCAGATTGCTTCAAAACTGTTCAAAATATTTCACAATATTTCAAGCTTGACAATTAACATATAGGTTTTTTCAAAGCCTCCAGAACTATTTATGTCAACAAATAAAAAATGTTGCTTTTAGATACCGTAATACATTTGACATTGCATAGTTTTGCTATTATTTAACCTCAAATGTTTCACACTGAAAGAAAGCTGACAGAGGCTATTATAGAGACTTCAGGAAAACATAATTTAGTGTTTCTTGCAGCTCATTTTCTGTTTCTGTTTAGATGGGGGTGGTTGGAGCTAATCTGCGTCAGAGGCACAGGAAGCAGTTATTGATTTTCAGCTTGTAATTCAGAATGTCTTGTGAATAACTTTTTCCATCTTGTAAGTCCAAATGTCTAAAAATGGCATCATTGTGCATTTATATGATTTTACATTTCTATAAAAATACTTGTATTTTTGATCATTTGTGAAGCAAGTTAAAATTTGTTGACAGATATAAGTTTAAAACAATGTTGGGTTTCAAAAATAATTTGATTTGCCACTGTAAAGTGCTTTGAGATTACATGTGTTGTTAATTGCAGCTATATAAATAAATCGACTGTATGCAGGTGATAGGATCAGGGGTGCTTTCGGGGATCTTGGGCCCCATTAAATAAATATCATAGGGCCCCCCACAGCAGGCCTACAGTAGGCCAGTGGAAAAATGCTGATTCGGATTTATATAAAACTGTTTTTTTAATAAAATTTTTGGTTATCATTTCAAAGTTTGTGTAAAGAAAAACATAAAAGTTTATAGAGAAGCACTGAAAATAAAATAAAATAAATTTAGATTCACTTATTTGTCCACAAAAAGTTAAATTACTTAAAATATAAATATTAAATATAAATGACCGTCTTCCATTAAAATTAAATCCCTTCAAATCTGGGAAGCTAATAAAATATTGGCACAAAAAAAATGGACAATTGCCTTTTGTGATTCATTGTAATTTCCTTCCTCAGACCCTACTTGGTTGACCAGGTGAGGGTGGTGGTCTGAAAAACGACTCCCTCTCTTGACTTGTCTGATCAGACTGACTGTTTTTTTAGCTCAGCGGTTTGATAAAAGTTTGCTTGTAATAACTAAAACAACTGTGACAAGTATAAAGAATAACTTTTTTTGAGGAATAATGGGAAGAAAAGTAAGCTAGCCTATAATATGGGGAAAGTTAGGAAAAGACACAAGGTTAATGGCCCATTCACATATTTACGATTTAGACAGCGAAGACCTGACATATGAAATAAAACTCTAAAATATAGTCCAAACACAAACCAACCCACCAAAGGCGGGCGAGGACAAAAAAAAAAATTCTTTGAAGGCCCAAGGCCATCAGGCCTGAGGTGAAGCATAGTCCCTGGAGGCCCGCCGAGAGGCCAGAGACGAAGCAAAGTCTCTGGAGGCAGGCCATGAGGACAGCGACGGAGGACCTCTGGAGTACGACATCTCTACAGCAGGAACTTTGGAGGCTACCGACTGTGGCACACGAGCCTTGGCGAACGCCAACTTTGCCACAGGAGCCTTGGGACCTCCAACTGAGGCACAGGAGCCTACGGAGCAGCGGCACTGCTTGGGACGCACAAAGAGGCGGCACAGCTTGGGACCCATGAAGAGGCGAGGAGTCCCTGCTGAGGGGCCTTGGAGGGTGAGGAGTGCCTGCTGGGGGGGCCTTGAGGACCTTGAGGCCTTGAGGACAAGCCTTCACTGAGCTCTATTTTAGGGACTAGTACATCAGTAGGCTTAGGGAGTCTCTGGACAGCACAGAGCATGATCAGGGGTCTCTGGATGACAGAGGACGTGCTCAGGGTTCTCTGGACGGCACAGAGCCTGCTTGGGGTCTCTGGAGAGGAAACACTAAGGCGATCTAAGCCTGGAGAGGAAATGCCAGAGGGGTCAAAGCCTGGAGAGGGATGCTCCTGGTTGGGACCATAAGTCTGAGTATGGAGGACACCAGTAAATGTCAATGAGGAAAAAAAACAAACTAAAAGTCAAGTTGTTTTATTCCAAAATATACTATATATATATATATATATATATATATATATATATATATATATATATATATATATATATATATATATATATATATACAAAACGGTATCAAAGGATAATTATTATTAATTATGGTATCAAAGGATAATTAATTAATGAACTGCATTTCAGTACCAGTACCTGGCTTCACTTTCTCCCTTAAGTACTACAGTAGTTGCAGTAGAGGGTTGTGTTAAATCTATGTTTTATCTTTCAGTTAGGGCAAGAGTTACATTTTTGTGGAACCTGGCTAGAGCCAGAAAGTACTGACATTCTTGAAATGTGAAATCCTGTAATCTAACCAATATCAGAGGTGGACGAAGTACTCGATATTAGTACTTTAGTAAAAGTATTAATACTCATAGTCAACTCTTACTCAACTTCGAGTAAAAGTTGCTCTGTCAAACATCTATTCACATTAAAGTATTAAAGTGCACACTTTTAAAAACACTTAAGTATTCATAAGTACATGTACTACTTATGTATTTAATAATACAAATAAAATGTTCCTATATCAGTACATTTTCAGATAAATTTTAAAGAACCTCATAACTTTTAGAAACCACCTGATGTATTGATTCATAGAACCTCTGCTGCAAATTCTACACCACTTGTAGAGAACTTCAGCATAAAAAAGGCCATAAAAAATAAGAACAGCTATTTTTCTTTTTTTTATTTTTTTTTTTTACAGTGTCCTGTCTGGCAATGTGGCAATAAGAATAATTGTCTTGATGCCAAAAAGAGCCCAACAGATTTTACTTTCACAAGTGTAGCAGTATGGCAATTGCCATATTGCTCCACTTGTTTCATGCATAGAAATTGCTTTATTATAATTATGCACAATTATGCATTACTGCAATGTAAATAGAAGAACAGCTATTTTGATTATTATTTCTTATTTAACAACATACCAAAAGGAAAGTCTTCAAAGTCTCCTCATACTTTCTTTATGCATTAAAGGTTTAAGTTGAATCTATTAGCAAAAAGAAACTGCAACTCTGCTTTAAGAAATCATCTTACTATACAACTTGGCCACATGGCAAAAACTAACACCTTTTAAAATTTACTGTAACTGTAAATCATATCTGCCCTGAGTTTCACACATTTGTGGAATGTAATGCAAGTCTCTAAAACTGTGGTGTCTAAATTCAGTCGTACAGGCTGCTATGTGCCATGCTGAAATTGCATTTCAAGAAAATCAGCAACAGTGGATTACAAAGCTAAGCTCAGCCAGGAGGAACAAGCAATCATCAGCTTAAAATGTAGTGGAGAAGAAAGTAAAATATTTTACTTTAAAATGAAGTGGAGTAAAAGTTAGTAAAGTAGTATTACTCAAGATACTCGAAAAAAGTGCTTCAGTACAATAATCAAGTAAATGTACTATTTTACTTGCCACCACTGACCAATATACAATGTCTTCCATATATTTTTTTTTTTGGTCATCTCACTCAACCAAACGTAGCAATTTTAATCCTACAAAGTCCCTTTTATTTGACCGCATTAATTAAATTAGCTGCTAAAGAAGAGGGCGTGTCAGGTAATTTACATCTCTAGGGGACAAAACAACAAACTCCTTAGAATTAACTTTAAATTTTGCCCCTTCAACTAGTAAAACATAAAGCTACGTCCCCCGCTGCGTCAGCATTTAAAGTCTTTAATAGCAAGGTGAAATTGATTATTAGAACAAAGACCGAACAAGTCTTCATACAATTGCAGTGGGTGGGAGAGGGAGGGAGATGTCGAGTGGGAAAATAGAAAAGAGAGAGATGATGAAGAGATGAGCTCTGCTGCAGGAGAACACAGCGGTTCTATACCTGAGTGCTGCTGCCGTGACTGAATAAAACCTGCGACATTCGACTTAAAGTATGGTGAGCTTTCTATTACTATCTACTTGCAAGTGATTAGTTTTATGTTTGGTTTTTATATATGTTTTTGATTTAGTTACAATTATATTCATTTTACATTTGTTCACTTTCTTGCACTCCTACCCTTAAATAATATTGGATTTAGAGGATATGAACCAATGAAAATAATGTTTTGTGTTGCAGCACTTAGTCATTGTATCATTGGTTATTCTAACAATATTTCAATGATAACAAAATTATAAAATGTGTACTGATATAGTTCCCGTCTCTGAGTCTAGTTCAGGTTCTGTATTTTATTTTTTCTCTTTAAGTTATCTTTACATGAGTGTGTATGCAGAAATAAAGGAAATGCTTCAGTTTTCAATTCACAAAGACAATTGAGAAAAGGAGAAAATTGCTTGTAAGACAGCTTTTTTTTAAAGGTAAATTCAGGATTAATTACATCTAAAAGTACTATAGACAAACACATCAAAATTAAACACCCAAAGTTATCTCTTTCTTTCTTATCTATTTAACTCCAGTTCAATCCAGATATAGTCAGTTTTCAGGATCAATATGGGGTCAATGCCAATAATTGACCACCCATCCCCTCCTGCCAAATGAATGGAGGGTTGTACCAAATATAATCATTAAGAAATAATAAAGCTATTTGGATTAAAACTTAAGAAATAGACAATGTTTCATGTTGCAGAATTGCTGTATTGAGTCTAATTTAAAATATCCATTCCTATTGCAAGGATAGTAAATAGCAACTTCAGAGTGGTAAAGTTATACATAGGTTAAAAGTTGTTATTCGTAATGTGTATTCAAACAAATTGTGTTTGATGTTTTCCTCTTAAAATAAGATAATAATCATTAATTATTACCATGTTTTTCTTCTTGTACTGCTCTATAGACAGTGGATGAACTGTCCTCTCTAGTGTATTACTAACCCTGTTCCCTTCATTTTCTGTGTTGAGGATTCTCACCTTTGAAGACTGATGGAATATTCCTGCTGGACTGGAGTAAAGATGGAGAACAACACCACTACTTTCCAAGATATTGCTCGGGTTTTAAATCTGACGGCAATGCCTCTGAACTCTGTTGAGGAACAAGTCATAACCATTTTTTTAACAGTGCTCATCTGTGGCATTGGGATTGCTGGAAATGCCATGGTTGTGCTTGTTGTTTTGCGCACCAAACACATGGTGACACCAACAAATTGCTACCTCGTTAGCTTAGCTGTGGCAGATCTTATTGTGCTCCTGGCTGCAGGCCTGCCGAATATCTCAAATGTAGTAGCTTTTTGGATTTACGGCTACACAGGTTGCTTGTGCATAACGTATCTTCAATATCTGGGCATCAATGTGTCGTCTTGCTCCATCACAGCATTCACAATTGAACGCTACATAGCAATTTGTCACTCAATAAAGGCACAGTTCATATGCACAGTTTCTAGAGCCAAAAGGATTATAGCTGGAATCTGGATCTTTACTTCGCTCTACTGTACTATGTGGTTCTTCTTGGCAGACACTGAAGAAACCATCTACACCAATGGGGTGGTTGTTACATGTGCTTACCGTGTCTCAAGGAGTCTCTACATGCCAATCTACTTTCTTGATTTTACTCTTTTTTATGTGGTTCCTCTTATTGTTGCCACTGTGCTCTATGGGCTTATTGCGAGGATTTTGTTCATGAGTCCTCTCCCATCCAATCTAAATGACCAGGCAGGAGGAGGATCCATTCATCAAGGTCACTCCCAGAGCACCAACAGGGCCAACAAAGGAGCTGTGACTGCACGAAAACAGGTACTAAGCTTGTTTTGTGAAATTCTCTTTTAGTTACAAGCCTGTCAGCATTTAGATGTACCATGGAGGATTTTTGCAATTTTTTTTAAAAGACCCACCCTCTCCATTAAAAAAATGCACATGCACAACCCTGTACCTGCTCTTAGAGAGAACGCCTATTAAATCCATGCAAGAGCGTACACAAGCCCATTTCTCCTTGTGCACACTTTTTATTAGTTGCTGTTTGCATCACTCATACAAGCTTACTTTGCAAATGAAGATATGCTATTTTCCAGTATGTCAAACTCACCACCAGTAAGTGAAAATGGGGATGAGCACGTTGGACTGCCTTACGTAATCATATCAGCAGAATGATTGACAATGAGGACAACTTATTTTTGATGATCCACCTGGAAAAAGAACATCCTCCGCTACAATTTTAAGATATGTGTTTTTAGTGTTCCCATAACTCAATATTTGTATTCTATTTTATATATTTTGAGTGAAATAGAACTAAAATCTACATGGGTTTGGATTATCTGTTTTAGGAAAAGATACAATGTTGTCTTTGATCCAACCAGAGAGTTTAAGGATGAAGTATGGTATTGTGATGACTTAAACATCAAACTCAGAATTACAAAGGAGCATTTCCAGCCACCGACCATATGCATATTCATTTATTATGTTTTATTTTTCAGCATCACAGTGTATGTGTCCAAAAGGAACCAGTATTCAGGCAAGATAGACATTGGGATTAGTCAAAAGCATTCATTTAAAACAAACAGGTTGTGGATCTACAGTAGCAGTGGCAAGGACATCTGAGATAGGAAATTCTAGGGAAAGGAAACACATGTTTGTGACCATGTAAATCTAATGAAGGAAGATTATGAACACGAGTCACTAACCTGGTTTACAAGTTTAGTCCATGCCCAGAGAACAAGGTAGGATCCAGCCAGTGGGCTGCCAACACGATGCAACAGACACAGCCCAGAGCGTCCCACATGCTGCAGTCCTGGAGAACATGCAAATGTCCGAAGCCAGGTCAGGCAAACAGATCAGAAGAAGAGCAGGTAGGCTCAGAGATCCAGAAGTTGAAAGCCAGGTCAGGGAAACTGATCAGAACAGGCAGGCTCAGAGGTCCAGGAATCGAAGGACAATTCAGGCAAACCATTCATATGGTTGAAGGCAACCATTGAGCAGGTCAGGATCAGGAACACAGAGACACCAAGGAATTCTAAACACACTCTCACCACTGGCTGCAGAGAGCAAGAATAATCTGGCACTGATAACTGGATGCAAGGACCTTAAATAGAGGCAGGAAGAGGTGTATCAGATGAGCAATGATTAGAAACCAGGCAGAGTTGGACAGGGGAATGGAATTAATAATTAAGCCAGTCAACAGCACCAAGATCATGACTGCATTTTAGGTTATTAGCTGAACTAGTAAATGATTAAACCCACCAAACATTGCAGCTTTTTAGAAGCATGAACCAGAAGTTTTCATTTCAGCCTAAAAACATTGATTATCAATCATAGAATAAAATGAAAGCTAAAGGCTAAAAAGAAAATTGTCTTTGTGAATTTTTAAAGAAATTAGTCTCATCATGGCATGCTGCCAACTGCAAACTTTCTTGCACTCCTACCCATAAATAATTTTATTATATTTCTGTAATGCTCTGGTGTCATAAAATCCAGTCATGACAGTTCTTCTAAGTTTCTCCATTTACTCCAGCTTTCTCCTACAGTCCAACATTGATCTTTTGGGTTATTTGCCCCTTATAAATTATCTTCAGGTATGAGTTTTTTTTTGTGCATGGTTGTTGTCCTGTCTCTCTGTTTGTTACTAAGAGATTGAGTGGTGATGGATGGATGGATGGATGGATGGATGGATGGCTTTAAAAGAGGAAAAAACTAAACCCCCGATGGTACATCCAGCATCTATTAACACAAAGTTGTTATCAAAAACTTGCTTTAGAACCATCTTTGCTACCATTATATTGAACAAACTGGCATAACATTTGCACCTACCTTATAGAAAATCTTGAGCTTTCCTTCCCTGTTATGTTGCAAATTTACTTTGCAGAATACACTTATCTAAGTTGTCTTCCTTTGTTATCCACAGATAACAAAAATGCTGGCTGTGGTGGTGATCCTCTTTGCAATGCTGTGGATGCCTTACCGAACATTGGTGGTGGTTAACTCCTTCATCGACCCTCCTTACCACAACATCTGGTTCCTCCTCTTCTGCCGGATGTGCATCTACACCAACAGCGCCATAAACCCCATTGTTTACAACCTCATGTCACAGAAGTTCCGCATTGCATTCAAAAAGCTCTGTAGGTGCCGCTACCAAGGCAGGGAGGCAGAGTACAACATGCCGGTTTATTACAGCGTGATGAAGAATTCCCTACATGGGAGCAATGAACCAGTGACAGAGCAGGAGGAACTCAGTGGTCAAACATCAAATAGGTTCAACATAAATGAAGACGCTGCAAGTGCACTGAGTAGCTCTTAATCAAAGCTGTTAACTCTGTTTACAGATATTCCTTTTTTTATGGCTAGGTTTTCTGTTATTTCTAATATGGAAAAAAGATGTATGGATATCGTTGATAAACTGGTTGGTGTTTATGTCTCGCATTATAAGGTGCACTTAAAAATTTGACATTTTCTCAGAATCGGGAGTACCTTATACATTGATTCATTTTGGTTATGCTTACTGACTTTAAAGTGAGTTTGTATGCTACACAGCTCACTGTCAAAATCTTTTAGTTTGACTCTGGTAAACTACAAAGCCACAGCGCTTGTAACATTACATCCACCATAGTCAGAAGTAGGGCATAGTTATACATGCTATGCTTCACTATAATAAAACAGTGAGTTTGAATAAGGCCCAAAACGTTGCTTCTGTCAAGAGACACAACGCATATTTCAAACTCATTCAGTCATGCAACAGAACATGGGAATAAAGCAGCTGCCTTATAATCCAGCGCACCCTATAATCAGGTCGATATGGTATATAGGGTTGGTCAAATGTAATGAGACAGAGACTGGATCCAAATAAACCAAGACAGGTTAGTGACGTTTTGATTGGTTTATTGAAAGGGTTACTCTGATAGCGGGGCTGCATCTGTGTGGGCAAACAGGCTGCAGGTAGACAGGCGGGCAGATTGAGGAAGGTTTAAAACTTAGATCCAGGACGGAGAGGCAGGCAGTTTAGCGGAGCTTTTTTGAGTCAGAGATCCAGAGAGAGGGGAGCAGGCAGGCCGATCAGAACGACACAGGGATCCGGGGATCCAGAGGCAGAGCAGAGAGGGTAATCAGGCAGGCAGAATCAAACAGGGGTCAGGCAGGCTCGGAGTCAGGAGGCAGATCAGGTCAGAAACAGATAGGCGGTCAGGTACTCTTTTTGATGCTGGACTATTCGTAGAGGGTTGGCTCGAGATAATCTGGGAGAGAGGACTGATCTGATGGGGTTTTTGAAGTTCTGAAACAGGTGACTCCGGTCAGAGCTGATTGCAGACGGGTGGAGCAGAGCAGGTGTATGGACTGAGTGATCAGGCCAGAATCAGTGCAGAAACCATTACATCAAATCAGTATGACCTCTTAAAATCCTTTACATTTGGCGTTCTAACAATCATTATATATCAAAGGACAGGTAACTTGGGGTCAAATGCCCTCCCAAGGGTCAAAGACACCTGGCAAGAGAAAGCTGGAATTGAGCCTACTATGATTACTACTCTGGTAGTTAAGTGTCTTCCATGTGTGTATGTCTAGAATTAGTATTTGTCAGCAATGTGTTCACAGTACATATCTATACTGTAAAAATCTACCAGTACAAAATGTGAATCTTTGGTGTATTCTGTATCTGCTTTACAGGGTTGTATTTCTGTATATTCTTCCTATAGTTGCTCATTTCATGGGTCACCACTGTTGACCCCCCACAACCATTTCACCACTATGGTCCTCCTTGTTGATGATAATCCACTGCAGATAATCTTTCACGAAATCCATAACCTTACCTCTCCAAATTTTTCACTGAATTATATAACCTTGCCTGCACATTTTTTTTCTTTTTCCATTTCCATTCAATTCAGGTTAGTAATAATAACAATAATAATACAAAGTTAAATAATAATAAACTTTTTTTAATTATTATTCACCTTCTTAAATCTCTCTTAATATTGTGGTTTAGGCACCGCTTACTCCTTACCTTTATTGTTCACTAATGTTTTCCTGGTTCTTTAGATATTTTGTTAGTTTTTGTGTGATATCACTGCACAAAGTAATGCACAATTTGAAGTGTGACAAAAGGCATATTATTTTTTGTTCCTAAATAAAGTTCTAAAAAGTATGGTGTACCATTCTATACATTCTCCTATTTCGTATTCACATGAGAAATATCTGGTTCACCCAATTATCTGTTTTTGTCACCTTATTCAATGTAAGAGTCACACTATGTCACAACATGTTGAAATATTTAGCAGTTGTTTTGTTGTTTCCTGCTATGTAACTGCTAACAAGAAACAAATGTTGACCACATGGTTCCCCATACTGACATGTAATGAGCTCAGTGAAAAAATAATAAAACAAGCTTTATTTCACTAAGAGTTTAAAGCATTTATATAGCTATTATAATTTGTATGTCTTCCCTCATGTGCTTATTACCTTTGATCACTAAAAATATGACCCGAGATTCTTCTTCAAGATAGTTCCCTTGTGTTTGTTAGCTATTAACTTCCATTAAGCCAAGCCTAAAGAAGCTAAAACCGGTTCCAACCCCTGATTGGAAACAAGGATATGAAGCTAATTCAACCTGGAGAGACTCACACATTCCAGAAAAGTGGCATTTAGAAATATTCAAAGATGAATCTGATAGTTCTTTGGAGCCCGACAGAGGACATGTAAGCTGTGATGGAAATGAGTTTGGATGACAGCCAAACTTGTTTGCAAAGCTTCCACCACAACAACCCTGCCTCCTTGATAATCGACCAATCACATTCACTTTATTCACTCGTGTAAAGTCGTGCACCACTCGGGAGAATTCGGAAATACAAAGGTTGGAACAGCCGTTTCCCTACGACTTTAAAACAAATAAAAGCCATCAAAATGATTTGTTTAATCAAAACAATTTATTTCTTTTGTTAATTACTGCTGCACTTTATAATTGGTTCACCTGAGAAAAGTTAGGTATAAACATTTGAATGGAAACACAATAAGAATATTTTTTAAAATTGATGTACAGAATGTTCGACGTGTTCAACAATTTTATGTGCAGTCTTTTTGACAGACAGGAAAAAAATAACTTAATTGTGATCAAAGCAAAGTCAAATGATCATTTTGGAGATATTTATAGTTACTCAGTTGCTTCATGTCCAAAATCATATATCAGTAGATAAAATGAACATCAAACTACCACTAAGTTCCGCCCAAATGACTAAATGTTCTGGAGGTTGCACTAATCCAAAGTTTCATTCAATCATGAGAAATGCACCAAAGTGGCATTAAAAAAAACTGTAATGTTAGCAGTATTAAGCGATTTAGGTGATATACAACAGCTACTTGCTTCACTGACTTTCCTTTAGAGGACATGGAATTTCGACTAAGTAAAGCATTAAAAACGCCCCTGACTCACTACATCTGTAGTATTGTTGCAGCCGCCATTTTACTAATGAACCTATCAGGGATAGTCAAATACAAACCGTTAAAGTTCACAAGAGTTTTCATTGAGTGAATCATCCATTTATTAGTCTGTTGGCCACAGGTGTAGTCTGTTAAATCACACAGTAATAAAAAAATCATAAAATATTTTTACAGTATAAAAAGCACAACCAGTCCTTTCATTGAAATGTTTGGGAAGCAATTATATAGACATCAACTTACCGGTAAGCTGAAATGCAATAAAAGCTTTTTTCATAAATTCCTTGCTACTTAGAGTGAGCACTACTGCATTTTTATTACGTTATCTATGCATCAAGAATCTTGCTCACAGCTTAATAAGACGAATGCATACGTTTTTGCTTTTAACTGAGAAATTCATGGAATGTCACTTCAAAATATTGCTATTTCACATTCAGCACATCAGTATTGTGCTGGTTGGTGGGAGAATCCACTTTCATTTGTCTTTGAATTGTCAATTTTCAACATCCACTTTCCTCTTGCATTAATTTGGGAATAGCATTTTTTTTTTTTTTTTTTTTTTTATCTAATCTAGGCTCCTACCTATTAGTGAAATGCCCCTGAAAGTGAAAGTAAATTCATGTCACTTTGCCTCGTAGCAGTAGTGACTCAACTCGAGGCTGTCAGTACATCTTTTTACCCACGCTGCTCTATTTCATAGCTGAATTAATTTTATAGCTGACTTCTCGGTGCCTGGCGTCTTTTCGTTAATGTAGAAACACAGAGCATAGAGTTTTCCGCCTCACTGGAATGGAAACACCGATGGTGGGAAATATCACAGCTTTGGGGAGCCGAAAGTGTTGAGTTTAAAGGCTGGATGTTTTTTTTTTTAACATTTTGCAAAATAGCAACACTGAACAGCATTCACATCAAAATGTTTAGTTAATGTCCAGTCCAGTTAAGATAGATAGATAGATAGATAGATAGATAGATAGATAGATAGATAG